TTTAGGCTTAGATCTGAAGTTTCATCTGTAGCCCCAACAACTAGTAAGCCACATTCCTGTCTCGTTTACAGCTGTGTAAACTCAAAGTAATGATACTGATGTCTGTGTGTGTGTGTGTGTGTGTGTGTGTGTGTGTCTCGTTACCTTGAGTGTGCAACCCTCTGATCATATCACCATTACCCTCATCTTCCCTCTCCCACCCTACTGCTGTTTGTTCATTGTGCTCCCTTGTGGGTCCCGTTTCAAACAGTGACAACACACAGGAGAACAAATGTGTGTCTCTATAATTACCGGTGACTCTTAGGAACATAGATATTGCCATCCTGGGATGGGTGCGGCTAGTGCAGTCTGGTCTGACCCGTGCTGCGGGGGTGAGATTCTGGCTCTGCTGAAGTGAACGGCAAAGCTCCTAGAGACTTCACCAGTGCCAGGATTTCATTCCAAGGTATGCCGTAAGTTCCAGCTCATTTTAACACGTTCACTGATGCTGTTTTTTCCTTTTAGTTACCAGACACTAAATAGAAGATCAAAGGCCAGCATGGCAGCTGTCAATCACAGACTCCAGTGCTGTAACATTCACCCTAGTCGGTATCCCTGGCACAGAGGAGTTGCACGTCTGGATCTCCATCCCCTTCTGCTCCATGTACATTATTGCACTGCTAGGGAACTCTGTTCTATTATTTATCATAGTAGCAGAGCAAAGCCTCCGTGAGCCCATGTGCCTCTTCCTTTCCACATTAGCGGTGGCCTATCTGCTATTATCTACCACCCCCATCCCCAAGATGCTGGTATATTCGGGTTCAGGGCCGGGGAAATTTCCTTTGGCTCCTGCCTTACCCAGATGTTCTTTATTCATTTAATCTTTTTTGCAGAGTTCGCAATACTGCTGGTGATGGCGTTTGATCGGTACGTTGCCATCTGCAACCCCTTGAGACATGCAGCTGTATTAACGCACTCGGCAATATGGAGAATAGAGCCGGCAGCTCTAATTAGAAGTCTCTATATAGTTCTCCCATTCGTCTTGCCGCTTCAAAGGCTGCCGCACTGCGTTATCCATCACTCTTACTGTGAGCACATGGACATAGGCCGCTTGGCCTGTGCCAGCATAAAAGCCAACGTTGTCTATGGCTTAACAGTTGCCCTGTTGTCAACAGGGCTAGATGTTGCATTTATCACTGTGTCCTATGCTCTGATCCTCAGGGCCGTCTTCCAGCTGCCGTCCACGGACGGACGGCTCATGGCTCTCAGCACCTGCGGCTCCCACATTTGTTTCATGCTAATTGTTCTATACATTGGCCTTTTTCTCATTTTTCACACACCTCTTTGGGGGCCACAATATCCTGGATCACATTCACATCCTGCTGGCCAGCTTCTGTGTACTTGTTCCCCCCCTGCTAAATCCTTATGGGAGTGAAAAACAAGCCGATTCGTAAAAGGGTAACCCACACGTTTGCTTGGAGCACTAGGTGGCTTTGGGGGCTGGGAACAGGGTACGTTGCCTTTGACGGCTTGGTCAGCGTTTGGATCCAACCACTGCCACTCTCGGACGGCTGTCTTGTGGCTCACATGAAAACAAGTGGAGATCACAGTCCACTTTGTAGGGAATGGCGTCCACACCACCAAATTGACCACTTCCCCGTCTCTATTTCCCAGTCTCTGCAGAGAGACCAAAGAGATTGGATCAGCCAGGGGATGAGGTCTCTCCAGGTCCGGATTGTGGCACGTTGGTTGGTCAGCATGACGGGAACTTGCACGGTTGCTGCCTGTGCTCTACGTCTGCGCATATCTACAGAGTAGGAGCTGCACCAGGCCTTTTTGCCTGGCCAAGGAAACCTCCCAGGCAATTCCCTGGAGCAATGAGCTGCCCCTTGGCTTTGGGGTTCAGAGGTCAGAACTGCACAGTGACAGACGACTGGCCGGAGCCCCGTTGCTCGCCAAGACAAAGCAGCAAACAGCCACCCTGCCATTGCCAGCACATTTCCCACTCTGTGCGCTTTTCAAGGGGAAGGAGCCGCCCGAGGGCTAGCACCGCTCCTGTCCCATCCCCCACAGACCAGGAGTCTGTTTTTCATGTGAGCGCCCAGGTCATGTGTCCTGAGACTGCCCTTACGTTAGCTACAGGCAGGCTTGGACAGCGGGAAGCTGGGCATGCAGGCTGAGCCTGTCCCAAGAAAAGGGACGGAGGGGATAGGCCTAGCTCACTGCGGGGATGGCCGAACCCTTGTCAGGAACCATTTAGCAGGGGCCGGGGAATATCTAGGGGGAGTAGGGAGATCGCACTAATGAGATCATTACCGGATACCGTGTCCAGTTCTGCTGTCCACACTTCCAAAAAAGATGTTGAAAAACTGAAAACTGTTCAGAAAAGAGCTGCAAGAATGCTTCAAGGTCTGAAAAACCTGCCATGTAGCTACAGACTTAAGAAGCTCAATCTACGGAGTTGATCCAAGAGAAGTTTATGAGGTGACTTGATCATGGTCTACAGGGAAGAGTTTTCTGCCAGCAGAAGGCTCTTTAATCTAGCAGACACAGGTATAACTAGCCCAAATTTTAACAATGGGGGTAATTAACCATGGGAACAATTTACCAAGGGAGGCACTGGATTTTCCCTCACCTGAAGTCTTTAAATCAAGACTGGATCCCTTTCTGAGAGATCTGCTCGGACTCAGAAGTTACAGACTAGATGCAGAAATTACTGGGTGAACATCTCTGTCCTATGCTATGCCAGAGGCCATGGCAGATCATCATAATGGTCCCTGGCCCTCAATACCTTAGTACCTGGGCTTCTTACACTCATGAACAGATTTTATCCTCTGGACCACTGGGAGGCAGGGAGGTATATCATAGAGAGGCTGCAGGGCAGGCAAGGGAAAGGCCAGAGTAAAGACTCCAAGTGAGGCTGTTGCTTAGGTTACAGATTTGACATATGATCAAGTGTATCACTGCTCCCTAGGGGATGGGATAGGTCAGACCTGACCCCACATCTATGATGGAGCCAATCTCTGTTTGCAGTGTTGGTGTAGCCTGGTCCATCCCAGCATATTAGAGACAAGGTGGGGGAGGTGATATTTTTTTATTGGACCAATTTATGCTGATGGAAGACACGAGCTTTCAAGCTACTCAGACCAAACTAAGAGCTCATTACAGAAGCAGCTTTGCCTCTCCTGGAATTGACACCTCCTCATCTATTATTGGGAGTGGACCACATCCACTCTGATCGAATTGGCCCTGTCAACACTGGTTCTCCACTTGTGAGGTAATTCCCTTCTCTTCATGTGTCAGTATATAATGCCTGCATCTTTCACTTTCACTCCATGCATCTGAAGAAGTGGGTTTTACCCATGAAAGCTTATGCCCAAATAAATCTGTTAGTCTTTAAGGTGCCACCGGACTCCTTGTTGTTTTTGTGGATACAGACTAACACGGCTACCCCCTGATACTCAAAATCGTGTCTCTTTCACCTACAGAGGATGGTCCAATAAAAGATAATACCTCCCCCACCTTGTCTCTCTGCTATCCACTCTCCGGTATTTTGCAAGAGCATCCAGTTTAAAGCCAAAGGTTAGAGAGCTAAATCCACAGTGATAAATGGCCTGAGCGGTGCTGAGCGTTTGCAGCTCCCCCTGAAGTAGACGGGAGCTCAGTGTCTCTGAAAATCAGACTGCTCATTTAGGTGACTAAATACAATGTCGGTGCCTAACTTTAGCCACTCAGCTTTGAGCACTTTGGGCTAAGTGATTTGGTCAAAGCCTCACGGTGAGTCAGTGTCAAAGGCTGTCCCCCAAAGTAGTGCTCCCCAGATCTGGTACCTAGAACGCAGTACTCTCAAGTCTCAAGGTATCTCACATCTCTGCTAAAGCCCCAGCTCCTGACGTCATGTGCTAACACACAACTCTCAGCTTTCATTTTTCCTAGAGTAGGTTTGGTGACAGAGGAAAAAAAGGTTTGAAATGTCAACCTGAATGTGATTTGGGGAGGGGTCTCATCTGACTCATGATTTTTGAACAGCTGTGGCTGGCGAGGCTAAGACCCAGCTCTGCATCCTCTGCTACCACAGGGGGGTTCGGTCTGAGGTTCTGTTTCAGGCCCATCTTTAATAATCACCACCCACAAAGCAGAGGGGCTGGGTCCGTGCTCAATACCTCAAAGGAACTAGACACCTAACGGAACAGAGTGAACAACTCCAGATTCTGAGCATGGTACTGGGCGCTAGGCACTAACTCCTGATGTGCTTGGGCAGGTCACTGCGCATAGTGAGGCTGTTTATAAAATGCCCCTCACTGTCGCATCTAGGCAGATAAGTGGGGAGGGGCAGAGTTATGTAAACCACCTTGAAAATAATGCTTTGTCCTTCTCCACCCAAGGCTGTCAGTCTAGAATACAAACACGGGTGGATTAAGACTCACAAACCCATTGCAATGTGGGCCCGAGCCCGATTTTACAGATGGGGAGACTGAGGCACAAAGCAGTTAGTCATCTTCTGCAAAAGTCTTTGGGTCCTGGAGATCCTCTGAAAATTAAGTCATACAAGTCTCCAAATGGGGGGCCCCCCCCAAATCTCAGGCAGCCAAAATGAACGGGAAATGCTGGGAAAGTTGGTGTAACGGATGTGGTCATACAGCAAGGCTCTGGCAAAGATCAGAATAGAACCCGGGAGTCCAGGTTCCCAGCCTCCCCCGCCGCTCACTGTAACCCCTAGACACCCTCCTCCCCTCCCGGAGCCGGGGGCAGAACCCAGGAGTCCGGGCTGTGACAGCCCCCCCCGGCGCCGGCCCCCCCCCCCCCCCCCCCCCCCCGCCGGGGACGGAACCCAGGAGTCCGGCCCCCGGCGGCGCCCCCGTCACACCCGGGTCCCCCAGCCAGCGCGCCCCGGGCGCAGCGCCGGGCTCCCGGGGCCGGGCCGGCGGGCGGAGGCAGCGAGCTGCTCTCTCCAATACGGGCCCTGCGTGGGCCGAGCCCGGCCCGCCCCGGCGTCCTGCCCAGCTACTTCCTGCCGGGGCGGCGCCGGCCGGCCGGGATCCACCGCGAGCCTGGGGCCCGCCGAGCCCGGCTGCAGGTAACGCGCCCGCCCCGGTGCCCTGCAGCGCCGCGCCCCGCTCTGCCCTGCCCCGGCCCAGCCGCGGGGCGGGAGCTGGGGGAACCAACCCGGCTCCGCTCTGCAGCGAGACGGGCCAGGGGGCCCCCCCCCCCCCACCCAGCGCCGGGCCCCCCCCCCCCCCCGCAATGCGCTGCTCCCTCCTGTCCCGGGGGCATTGCAGCAGTGCCTGGAGGAGAGGGAGCTGTGCAAGGTCAGGGACAGATCAGTGGCAGAGCCAGGGCTAGAGTTAATTCTTAGCACTTGTCTACATGGGGAAGTTTATTGGCCCGGCCTGGTGTCGGTTCCCCCCCGCGCCGCCCGGCTGGTGTTGGTACTCATAGGTGAAGGAGCGAGGGGTGCTCCTGCACCCCCTGGCTTAAAGAGGTTTCCATCATATTCAGGGTTTACAGTAAGTGGCCGTCGGCATCCCTGCTATACAAATTGTTCCAGCACCCCGTGGGTACCCCCGTCACCGCCGCGCCGGCCTGGGTACCCCCGTCACCGCCGCGCCGGCCTGGGTACCCCCGGCACCGCCGCCCCGGCCTGGGTACGCTGTGCTGTATGTAGCTAGGTTGGTGTACCTCCCCCTGTGGACATCTGCCCCCCAGTAAGAATGGCTTTTTCTGGCTGACTACAGTGTGGTTGTAGCCCTGTGGGTCTCAGGATATTAGAGAGCCCAGGCGGGCGAGGTGACATCTGCTAGACACTAAAAGTCATGGCCTGAACATAGACACTGGATTTATGGCTTATTACAATCCATAGCCCCCACTTTTTGTCCTATGACTGCAGGGGTTTTAATGGGCCACTTCATCTTGAATGGGCCCTTACAACATGTACTAACTACTCAGTCCTTCCCACCTTGCATCAGGCTGGGATGCTGGCAGCCCTGCAGAAGAGCTCTGTGGCTCCAAAGTGTGTCTCCCCAACAGAAGTCGGTCCAATAAACGATATTCCCTCCCCCGCCTTGTTTGTCCCATTTAGCTTCTGTCGCCTGCGAAGTGCCCTAAGCTAACCGGGGGAAGCACTCTTATTTTGGGGGTAAGAATGTCCATGCGGGGACTTACCCCTGAAGAACTATGCCAGCCAGCTTCCCTACGTAGACTAGTTCTTAGCCCGTTGGGCTACTCGCTGGGCAGGAAAGCTTAGAGCAGCTTATCCCTAGGACACATTTAAGAGGAGAATGCACACCCCCCGCACAGGGACTAGCGCCGTGAAAACAGTGCCATCTGGTCCAGCACTTCATTCCCTTCGGTGAAAGGCGTGAGGGTGCATGATTGCAGGGGGGGGGGTGTTGGGGTGGACAAGGGGGTGTGTGGGCTTGTGTGAGACATACCTTGGCCGTGTTCATAGGGACAACAGGGCTCAAAACTGAGGGCATCCCAAACAGGGAAACAAAAGCTCTCATTCGGCCTTTGACAAGGTCCAAATAAAAGCCCTCCCGCTTTCTGGGCCCCAAGGAGGGGGCAAGGCCTGGTCTCCCCACACACCAGGCCAGTGCCCCCTTTCATATTTCTCCTTTTTATGCCTGGCAGATTAGCAAGCCCCCTACTGCACTGGCTCTGCAGCCTGGTAACCCTTCCCGCCCCCCTAGACCTAGCGGGAACCATGGGCCTTGAGCTACAAGGGGCTAAGACCAACTCAGCTGCCAAGAGACTTCTGTGGGACCCAGCTGATCCGTTCGTCTGACCCCCTGTACAGTACAGGCCAGCGAACTGCCCCAAAGTAATTCCCAGCGCTGATTTTTTTTAGAAAAACGGTTATCGGGCGCAGGGGTCAGTTGCTAGCGGGAGGCATGATCACACATGTGATCGTGTGTGTGTGTCACTTGGATCCAGGCCTCTGCTGCCCCTGCAGAGATGGTTTGGAGTGCACAGTGCTGAGCTCGTCACACGCTTTGTTTTTCAGGTGTACGCCTTGCTCCCTGGTGTCCCCTCAGCTTGTCCCGCCGGGGAGGTGCTGGGAGAAGGGCTGGCAGTGCGGTCTGGGGTCGTGCCTAAAGGAGAGTTCAGGGAGGCTGATTTCTGCCGGGTGAGGGTCCCGTTTGGCTCTTTCAGTGGGCTCCGGATAGTCTGTGTAATGCCCAGGCTGGCTTCCGCATTCGGGGGTCCCCAAATGGTCCAGACTCCTAGTGGATTCATGGCTTTACAAAGAGAATGACAAGACCACTCACCTTCCTCATGGCACGTGGGCTGGCTGTGGAGTCATAGCCGTTGGCTGCTGGGCCGCCAGCCGGGTAGTGGCTGGTCAGCGGGGTATATGGAAGGAACTGGCAGGTCCCAGCCCAGGTCCTAGTGGCCCAGCATCTACATGATAACCTCCCAGGGAGTAGCCCCTGCAGTTAGATCTAACTACCCACCTCACGGCAGCCTGAGAGGAGAAATGGACTGGCCCTTGCACCAGGGACCCCCACTCGCCCCATTTCCTCTGCTCCCGCTGCCCTAAGGCTGGGCACGTGTGGATGCCACTGCCCTTGCTGAGCCGCCGTGCGAGCAGATGGCGCAGCAGTTGGAAATGTGCATGGTTCCTCCGAGACGGGCGAAACGTTGCGTTAGAACACGGCGCATCCCTCCGCCACGCTCGGGGTTTGTGCCGCTTCTAATCCCTGCCTCTTTCTCCAGTGCGAAAAGGGAAGGGCTGAGCAGAAGTCATGGATTCTCAGGACGCGGAAGGGGAGGAAACTCCGGCCAGCACCTGCTCTGGTGAGCAATGGGAATTCAGACTGCTGGGGAAGGAATGGAAATTAAGTTGGCTTGATTTGTTCTTGACAGATCCATGCCGACTATTCCTTATAAGAGCGGCCATACTGGGTCAGAGCAAAGGTCCATCCAGCCCAGTATCCTGTTCTCTGACAGCGGCCAATGGCAGGTGCCCCAAAGGGAATGAACAGACAGGTTATCATCAAGTGATCCATGCCCTGTCACCCAATCCCAGCATCTGGCAAACAGAGGCTAGGGACACCATCCAAGCCCATCCTGGCTAATAGGTGCATCAATGGCTATCTTCCATGAATCTATCTAGCTCCCTTTTGAACCCCGTTATAGTCTTGGCCTTCACAACACTCCTCTGGCAAGGAGTTACAGAGGTTGACAGTGCGTTGCGTGAAAAAATACATTCTTCTGTTTGTTTTAAACCTGCTTCCTATTAATTTCATTTGGTGGCCCCTTGTTCTTGTATTATGAGAAGGAGTAAATAACACTTCCTTATTTACTTTCTCTATGCCACTCATGATTTTATAGACCTCTATCATATTCCCTCTTAGTTGCCTATTTTCCAAGCTGGACAGTCCCAGTTTTATTAATCTCTCCTCATATGGAAGCTGTTCCGTACCCCTACTAATTTTTGTTGCCCTTTCTTGAACCTTTTGCATTTCCAATATATCTTTTTTTGAGATGGGACGACCACATCTGCACGCAGTATTCAAGGTGTGGGCGTACCATGGATTTATATAGAGGCAATATGATATTTTCTGTTTTATTATCTATCCCTTCCCTAATGATTCCCCAACATTCTAGTCACTTTTTTGACTGCCACTGCACATCGAGTGGATGATTTCAGGGAACTATCCACAATGACTCCAAGATCTCTTTCTTGAGTGGTAACAGCTAATTTAGACCACATCATTGTATATGTATAGTTAGGATTATGTTTTCCAATGATCCTCCAGGTGCTTACAAATTGATTGTTTAATCCTTTGCTTCAGTATCTTTCCAGGTATTAAAATTAGACTGACTGGTCTATAATTCTCGCGACCTCTTGTTCCCCTTTTTAAAGCTAGGTACTGTTGGCCCCTCTCCAGTCTTCTGGGACCTCTTCTGTCCTCCATGGCTTCTCAAAGATCATGGCTAGTGGCTCCAAGATTGCTTCAGCTAGTGCCCCAAGTGCTCTAGGATGAATTTCAGCAGGCCCTGCTGACCTGAATACATCTAACTTATTTAAATAAACTTTAACCTGCATTTTGAGAATATGGAACTGGCAGCTTTTGAGAATTCAGGGAAAAGATGGATGTGATGGCAAAACTTTTTCTGCTCTCCTTTGCTCAGGATATCCTGCTCCCCGACTGGACATCTCAATAAAGGTTGAAAGGGAGGATGAGCCCCAGTTCACAGATGCCCCGGACTTCACTGAGGGAGTGGTCCCTCAGGGTGAGTGATCCCATTGTAAAGGGATTGGCAGCTTGCTGGAAAACATCCCTTGCGTTACGCATTGCACTGTTCATTAATAATCACATGCAAACACTTACTTGGCAGAGGCAGAAACATTTGTGAAAATTTTCCTGGATGTTTTTGCATTGAAATATTCCGACTGCTCTGTAAAACTGGTCAAAACACAATTTGCTGGCCAAGGGGGGAATCCTCCAATATTTGCAAAACATTTTTCATCTAAACATTTCAACCAGCTCTTCATACAGTCCGGAACAAACAGAGGACAAACTTGGACCAGTTTTCCCTCTGAATGGCTGGAGCTGTTCTGACTGTGAAAATGCTCGGAGAAATGGGTGAAAGTGAATTGCTTTGTAGGAATTTCATGGAGCACCAACCCGGTTTCCTTCTCGCTTCTGAACTCCTCTCTTCCAAAGAGGATGTTTGGGGGCGAGAGGTGGTTGCTTTTTAGGATGCACCCCACGAAGTGGAGGAGTCTCAAAAAACATCATCTTCCCCAGCCCTTCACACTCCTGGGCATAATTTTAGGAGGAAGAGGTGGTCATAGAATATCAGGGTTGGAAGAGACCTCATGAGGTCGTCTAGTCCAATCCCCTGCTCAAAGCAGATCCAACTCTGCTCCCTTCCTCAACCCCAAACTTTTAGCCCCCAGCTCTCTCCCTCCCCAATTACAATAGAACCCCCATTTTGTGAACATTGATCATGTGAATGGCTGGTTATATGAGCCATTTTTCTGCCGCCAAATGTGACTTCAGTCCTTCGGCCAACGTTCCAACAGCTGGACAGCTTTGGAAAAAAACAAGGTTTGGTGGCAAAGGAGAAGTGCACGTCTCTCAGACAAAGAAAAACCAGATGCACTGTACACAGTTACCATTTGTTATGTACGCTGTCATTGAATGATTAATCAATTAAGTTATGCACCGGACCCACTGTAACTGAGATGTTCAGTGATTAACTCCTCAGTCGCTGATTCATTCATAAAAACACGGCTCTGCTGTATTTGGCTGAGCAGGCAGGAGTAGGCTGCATTGGCAACATCCAGCTGCTTGGGGTTGCTCTGTCCTCCTGCTGGACAAGCACCCGGCTGTGGCCTGAAGCTGCTGCTCCCTCCCAGGGGCTACAGCTCCAAAATCCCAGACCCCTGTCGCTGACTTGCCCAGGGAGCATCCTGAAGACGGCTCTCTGCTGCTCTTCAGTCAGAGATCCCCAGTACCTGCTCCTGGTCCCCACCTCGGGCCTGTTATGGAGTGAGGCGTGATGGCCGCTGGGCGTGATTCCAGGGGCAGGTCAGTGGTGACTCATTGGGCAGGGCACCAGGCCCCATGTGCTCAGCCAGGTACCCGGGGCTTCAGACGGGGCGTGTGTAATGGGCACCCCTCTAACTCCTTGTATTTTCATGGAGCTGCCGCTCCAAGCTCCTTCCAGCCTGGAATCTGGAGCTGGGGCTCTCAGCTTGACCTGCCCGCCATCCACCCTCCAGAGCGGCTGGCGCAGTCTGGGCTCCTGGCTGGGTGCTGGGGGCTATTCACCCATGAGCTGCTGGGTCAGCCCAACCCTGCAGGCTGATGGTCGGTATGGATATCCTGGCTTCAGCCTGGCTATCCCACCTGTTGGTGAGCCCATGGGAGATGGGGACATTTTCATCATGATGATTATTTCTCTTTTGTCTGTAGGGTATCCTGGCACCAAACGTGACTTAGTAAAGATGGAAAGAAGCAAACACGTGGATGTCCTGGACTCTGCAAAGAGACGAACTACCCGCAAGAACTCCACAGGTGAGGGAATAGTGTCCCATTTCCTGGGTGATGCTCATATTGCGTCACAAACCCCGCATACATAGATCGCTTGGCCATTGCCTGAAATGCAACCACTTCTGGGGTAGAACGCTGTCACCACTGTGTAACAGTGATCCTACACACCTCTGCCTAGGAGGGCAGGAACATAGGACTGGAAGAGATCTCCTGGCTCATGGAATCCAGCCCCTGCCATCGCAGGCAGCCCCACCATATCATCCCGTTCACACAGCTCCACTTGGAAGCTCGTTAGGCTGTTTGCCTAGGTGGCCCGTTCTGTCCCTGCGGTTCTGACTGCACAAGTCAGGAAGCAAGATCATGTTGGGGCTCACACAAACCGTAGTCATCTCTTACGTCCTGGTTTTAAGCAGGAGGTAAGTGGTGCATAGACGCTGTGGGCCCCTCACACAGAGCTATTCTCATCCATCAGGAATACATCATCTCCCTTTTTATTTATCCACATCTGTCACGTCTTAGTGACAGGTGTCAATCATGAATTTTCCCTCACTCCCAATAGCCTTCCAGTGGGTGTCCCTCCTTTCGACTCTCCTGTCCCCTCTGGGATATAACTCTTCAGAAGTCTGGGTCAGTTTCTACCCTGATTTATTCCTTTGCCACCCAGCTGAAGTTAATGGGATGTAAGACAGACGTCCTGGGCCGAATCAATCACTGGTGTAAGTCCATTGACTTCAGTGAGGTTACTGCAGAGGCCAGCCTGGTCAGGCCTGGGAGATGTATTGGGTATCTTTTGGGGAGTTGCCCAAATTGGTTAACAAAAAAATCTGATGAAGTTAGGGTTTGCTACGAGGAAGGCGGCATAGTCCAGGTGGGTGCTGGTCTGGGGGGCAGGAGCCCTGGTTTATTGTGAGAACACGGTATTGTGTGATCATCCTGTGACTTCTGGTTTCTCTGCTTGATTTTGGAAAAAAAAAAATCACTCCATGGGAATTCAGTCAATTCAAACTCTGGCTTTCTCTGTTCATCTCTGATCTGCACCAAATTCCAGGGGAGGGCTCGACGGTATTTTTCATTTGTTGTGTGTGATTTTAAAAATAAAAAGAACACTGAGGCACAATTCTAGTCTAGGAAAATGACTGGATTTTTTCCTGTCTTTGCCTCAGTCCTTTTGTGCTGAAATCTCACTTTGCATTTTCTCCTCCAGAGATGTGAAGAGCAAACTGGAATTTTTTTTTTTTTTTTTTTTTTGCTGGCTCACGCATCGTTGTAAATTCCTTTGCCTAAGTACTAACATGGCGCCAATCACCTTGGTATCTGAGCATCTCACAATCTTTAATGCAGCTATCCTCACACACACCTGTGGGGCCGGGCAGGTGGGGAGCCAAGGCACAGAGACACACTGGGGGGGATTTGGAAAGACACAAATGGCAGTTAGATGCTGTGGCAGGGAATTGAGCCTGCAGTTTCTGAGTCCCAGGGGAGCAGCCTAACTACTGGACCATCCTTCCCTCCAGCATGAAACAGGCAAATAAAGAGTCCCATTCATTACATCACATGGAGGCAGACAACTAAATCCCCGTGGATCTGTACTGGGGCCAGTACCATTCAACAGTCATAAATGATCTGGAAAAAGGGGAAAACAGTGAGGTGGCAAAATTTGCAGATGATACAAAATTACTAAGGATAGTTAAATCCAGAGCAGACTGAGAAGAGTTACAAAAGGATCTCACAAAACTGGGTGACTGGGCAACACAATGGCAGATGAAATTCAATGTAAATTAATGCAAAGTAATGCACATGGGAAAATATAATCCTAAGTATACATACAAACTGATTAGCTGTTATCACTCCAGAGAAGAGCAACAAAAATGATTAAAGGTCTAGAAAACGTGACCTATGAGGGAAGATTGAAAAAATTGGGTTTGGTTGGTCTGGAGAAGCGAAGACTGAGAGGGAACATGAAAACAGTTTTCAAGTACATACAAGGAGGATGGAGAACAATTGTTCTTCTTAACCTCTGTGGATAGGACAAGAAGCAATGGGCTTAAAGTGCAGCAAGGGAGGTTTAGGTTGGACATTAGGAAAAACTTCCTAACTGTCAGGGTGGTTAAGCACTGGAATAAATTGCCTAGGGAGGTTGTGGAATCTCCATCATTGGGGATTTTTAAGAGCAGGTTGGCCAAACACCTGTCAGGGATGGTCTAGATACTTAGTCCTGCCATGAGTGAAGGGGTCTGGACTAGATGACCTCTCAAGTACCTTCAAGTCCTATGATTCTATGAAAAAAGAGATCTTGGAGTCATTGTGGATAGTTCTCTGGAAACAATGTGCAGCAGCAGTCAAGAAAGCTAACCGAATGTTAGGAACTGTTAGGAAAAGAATAGATAAGACAGAAGATATCATAATGTCACTATATAAACCCATAGCACTCCCACACCTTGAATACTGTGTATAGTCCTGGTCGCCCCATCTCAAAAAAGATATATTGGAATTGGAAAAAGTACAGAGAAGGGCGACAGAAATGATGAGGGGCATGGAACAACTTCCGTATGAGGAAAATTTAAAAAGACTGGGACAGTTCAGCTTAGAAAAGTGATGACTAAGCAGGAATATGATAGAGGTCTATAACATCATGAGTGCTGTGGAGAAAGTGAATCCAGAAGTGTTATTTACCCCTTCACATAACACAAGAACAGGGATCACCCAATGAAATCAATAGGCAGCAGGTTTAAAACAAACATAAGGAAGTATTTCTTCACACCACACACAGTCAGCCTGTGGAACTCATTACCAGGGGATGTTGTGAAGGCCAAAAGTATAACTGGGTTCAAAAAAGGATTACATAAGTTCATGGAGAACAGGTCCATCAATGGCTATTAGCCAAGATGGTCAGGACACAACCCCATACTCTGGGTGTCCCTAAGCTTCTGAGTGCCAGAAGCTGGGACTGGATGACGGGAGGGATCACTCAATAATTTCCCAGTTCTGGTCATTCCCTTTGAAGCACCTGGCACTAGCCCCTGTCAGAAGGCAGGATACTGGGCTAGATGGTCCACTGCTCTGACTCAGTGTGGCCTGTCTCATGTTCTCAATGGGCAGCAGGTTTAAAACAAATAAAAGGAAGTTCTTCACACAGCGCACAGTCAACTTGTGGAACTCCTTGCCTGAGGAGGTTGGGAAGACTAGGACTATAACAGCGTTTAAAAGAGAACTGGATAAATTCATGGAGGTTAAGTCCATTAATGGCTATTAGCCAGGATGGGTAAGGAATGGTGTTCTTAGCCTCTGTTTGTCAGAGAGTGGTGATGGACGGCAGGAGAGAGATCACTTGATCATTACCTGTTAGGTTCACTCCCTCTGGGGCACCTGGCACTGGCCACTGTCAGTAGACAGGATACTGGGCTGGATGGACCTGTGGTCTGACCCAGTACGGCCGTTCTTATGTTAGAAGGATTCTGCAGGCTTGTTCGCATCTGCGGGACCTCACTGCTTTGAGTGGAGCTGCACAGATGCAACTCGGGGTAGCAGCTGGCCCCACAAGTGGCACTTCGCTGGCATCTCTGTTGAAGAGGCACAAACCAGAAGAGAATCCCTCTCTTCCCTCCAGCAGAGGCAGCGGGCCTGATTCTGACACCACTGTAGCTCCGTTAGCTTCCCTGGAGTTACTCCTGGTGCCAAGTGAGAATTAGGCCTGAACTGCCACGGCCTTGCACTTTGCATGGTCACGCACACCTGTGCAAACTCCCTCTGAATGGCAGCCTCTTCCATGCCCTCTGCAGAGATGCCCTGGCTAGACACGGGGCACAACAGGGAGAACTTGAGACCGGAGGCTCTGCACCAGATAACACCCTAGCAGAGCTGTGTGAGGAGATGGCTGTTTACACAGACCCTCTGATAACTGCACTCCAGCGGGAAGTGGCTTGGTTGGTGCTGTTCCCTGCCTTAGCAGCCACTAACAGTGTCTTTGGCTTGTCTTTCCCTTGCCCTGCACAGGTGACTGGGCTGCGAAAGCCGTTAAGGAAGAAGGGCCAGGAGAGGACCATACCAAGGAGTTGGAGGCCCCCTGGGTGCTGGCAGGGAAGGTCTACAAGAACCCTCTGACCCCCAGGAGGCAGCCAGGGAGCGGGCAGGACGCTCCCGCTGAGTGTACCAGGGCCCTTGGGAAACACAGCGCCAGGGCCTCCCAGCCGAGGAGCCCCGCGGGGGAGCTGGCGTTGGCCTGTGGTGACTGCGGGTGGCGGTTTGGAGATGTGGCGTCCCTGGGCGAGCACGAGCAAAGCCACGCGGCGGAGCGCACCTTCATCTGCACCGACTGCGGCAAGAGCTTCGGGCGGCACGCCACCCTGGTGGAGCACCAGCGCGGCCACACGGCGGAGAGCGTCTTCGTCTGCACTGACTGCGGCAAGAGCTTCACCCACAAGGCGGCGCTCACCGTGCACCAGCGCACTCACGTCCGCCAGCGCCCCTACCGCTGCGCCCAGTGTGACGGCGCCTACGGCTCCCACGCTGAGCTGGCCGCCCACCAGCAGGCCCACGCCAGGCCGGCCGTGGCCTCAGAGGAAAGTGCTGAGCCGGCTGCGCCCCTGCGGGCCCCCGAGGCTGAGAAGCCCTTCCCCTGCATCGACTGCGGCGACAGCTTCCGCTCGCACCCCGCCCTGCTGAGCCACCAGCGCATCCACGCCGAGGAGCGGCCCTACAAGTGCACCAAGTGCGGCAAGAGCTTCTGCTTCCACGCCGAGCTGGCGTCGCACCAGCTGTGCCACCCCAAGGAGCGCTGGTTCCCATGCGGCACCTGCGAGCGGCGCTTCAGCTCCAAGACCGACCTGATCCTGCACGAGCGCACCCACCCCGAGTCCAAATGGTGCCTGTGCGCAGACTGCGGCAAGATCTTCGCCTGCCAGGCCGACCTCAGCCGGCACCAGGCCAGCCACGCCGCCAAGGTGCACGCCTGCCCCGAGTGCAGCAAGGCCTTCAGCTACCTGACTGACCTCATCGTGCACCAGCGCTCACACGCCGAGAGGCTCATCTCCTGCAACAAGTGCGGCAAGGGCTTCGGCTCCCGCACCGACCTCCTGATTCACCAGCGCATGCACGGCGACAGCCAGTCCTTCACCTGCACCCAGTGCGGCAAAGCCTTCGGCTCCCGCACCGACCTCATCACGCACCAGCGCTCACACGCCGAGAGGCTCGTCTACTGCAACAAGTGCGGCAAGAGCTTCAGCTCCCGCACCGACCTCCTGATTCACCAGCGTGTGCACGGTGAGAGCCGGTCCTTCACCTGCACCCAGTGCAGCAAGGCCTTCGGCTCCCGCACCGACCTCATCATGCACCAGCGCAGCCACCGCGACCGCCAGTCCTACTCGTGCGCCGAGTGCGGCCGCGTCTACAGCAACCAGTCCTACCTGGTGGCCCACCAACGCATCCACACCGGGGAGAAGCCGTACAAGTGTGCCGAGTGCGGGCGCAGCTTCAGCCACAAGTACCACCTGGGCAGGCACCAGCGGACACATGCAGGGGGCACCCCGCCCGTGTACTGAGCCCCAGGGCCTGTGCCACCTCCACCAGGGAGTGCACGGGGAGCGGACGGGGAGGAGGGCAGGGGAGTTGCACAGCATTGCAAGGGAGGCTGCATGTTGCCCCCGTGGCAGGTGGAACACCGATGACACAGAGCTGGGTGCGGTGCCGATGCAAGTCAACACTAAGGGGGAGAGACTTCTCAGACATGAAACTGGTGACCACCCCCTCGCCTCTCCCCCTGCAAGAAGTCCAGTGTCACGTGAAATTTCCTTGCAGGGAGGGAAATCTCACCCCGGAGTGACAGCTGCTTCCTAACAGGTTATCACGAGCAAGACAGAACCGGACTAAGAGCTAGACAGAACTGTGCATGCTACGGAGCTATAGGAAGTTGGGCAAATGCTGTTAAACTAAGCGTGGTGGGGGTCAAGGGGCAAAAAGCGGACTCAAGCTGGTTCTTGTTCCCCTTCAGCAGCGAGATTTCTCTTCTGTGTCCCCTTTTCGCCCTCCCCTCCTTCTCCTGCCCATGAGGAATTCAACAAACATAAGGAAAGCCACTGCCATCACTAGACTCACCAAATTCATGCACATGCTACGTGAAGGGTGTAACTAATCCCGTACCCAGAACTGTGAGACCAGGCTAGGGTGAGGTCCTTTAGCTTGGCGGTTCAGTTCCACAAAACTGCTGCAAAGTCATCCCCTGCCCTAATGTTTAGGGGACCAAAACAAGTAAAAATGGCATTGAGCCAGCTGGTTTGAGGCCCTTCCCACCCTGAAGGAACGAGGGGCTGAGTTAGCTACGGACAATGGGCCGTATCCTCAACTGGTGTCAATGGTACAGCTCCGCTGAAGCCAAGAGAGCTGGGCCAGCACCCAGCAGCCAAGTGTCTGGCCCAAAGTTAAGGGGGATGTGATGTATTCCAGTGTCTAAGGGAAAGCCTGCACAACATCATGTGGGTGCTGTCATAGAATCGCAGAATATTAGAGTTGGAAGGGACCTCAGGAGGTCATCTAGTCCAACCCCCTGCTTAAAGCAGGACCAACCTCAACTAAATCATCCCAGCCAGGGCTTTCCAAGCCGGGCCTTAAAAACCTCTAAGGAAGGAGATTCCACCCCCTCCCTAGGTAACCCATTCCAGTGCTTCACCACCCTCCTAGTGAAAAAGTTTTTCCTAATATCCAACCTAAACCTCCCCCACTGCAACTTGAGATCATTGCTCCTTGTTCTATCATCTGGTACCACTAAGAACAGTCTAGATCCATCCTCTTTGGAACCCCCTTTCAGGTAGTTGAAGGCGGATATCAAATCCCCCCCTCATAGTCAACATAGTCAAGCCCAGTTCCCTCAGCCTCTCCTCATAAATCATGTGCCCGAGCCCCCTAATCATTTTCATTGCCCTCCGCTGGAGTCTCTCCAATTTGTCCACATCCTTTCTGTAGTCGGGGCGGGGGCCCAAAACTGGATGCAATTCTCCAGAAGTGGCCTCTCCAGTGCCGAATAGAGGGGAATAGTCACTTCCCTCGATCTGCTGGCAATGCTCCCACGAATGCAGCCCAATATGCCATTAGCCGTCTTCTTTAAGGCCTCCCCCCTGTCGTCTCAGCTAAGGCCTGTTTCGAATCCTTTTCTCTGTCCTGGTTTCTGCACCACTGAGCCTGCCTGGAGAGAAGAGGACATTTGAAGGGGCAGAGCGTGATGCTCCCTCCTTCCGCAGGGCTAGGGGCAGCAGACAGGCTCTGGGCCGAGGGCATGCCCTGTACGATAAACGCCTCGCGGTGAGGGGCGGCCTCTAGGAACCAGCCAATGAAAGCAAAGCGAGAGCATCCCAGGAAGCTGGCCACCAGCCCATGACGTGGAGGTGATGCCGCCCCCCTCATCTCTGACACACGTTTGGTCCCTGGAGACCAGCAGGCCCTTCTCCAGCTTGATGTGAGTACGAAGGGCTAAACAAAGTCTTGCATGCTGGGACCTCTCTCCGGGGGCTGAACCCCTCCCTAGGCACGATGAGGCTGGCTGTGGGCTGCATTGTAGAACTCTCTAGCTGGCTACTTGGCTGTGTTTTGGCCACCCCGTGCACTGAAACCCAGTGGGCTGAACTGGGTGGAAATATGCCTTAATTTAGCAAGTTGGGAAGGAACCATAATGCTGCTCGATATGAGGGGAGAGTGCTGCAGAGTTTGGGTCTGATTACAGAGTTGCCGCTTCCATGTAGGAGAGGGCCTGTCTGCAGTGGGGCAGGGGTGGGGAGGAGACACTCTTTCCATGTGTCCTATGATACAGGCCCGGCTGTTGGTTTAATTCTGAGCATTAGAACATCAGAGGTGACCCGTTCAATGAAGTCAGAGTTCCCATCCGCTCCATGCACTCGGATTTCCTTTGTTCACCTCAGTCTGCCAAGAGCTGGCACTTTCACTGAGCTGTTGTGCACACCCGGCCTAAACCACATGTTTCGGAGGGAAATTGCTTTGTAAATATGTGATCCTAGCAGAGAATTCCAGCTCTCCTCGGGCACGTCTGTGTCTGAAGCACTTTGGATACTCCGTGGCGCCCAACAGACATGGCACTTGCTCTTGTTTCATTTCTAAATTGATTTCCTGTCCCAGGGGCTGTCCTGCCTTAGCTCAGAGACCAGTTGAGCGCACTAGCTGTTCCTTTGTGGTGTAGCGCTTCCTTTGGAGGGTTTGGCCCTGGGAGACAGAGGACGAAGACGGTGGAGAGGGGATGCGTATTTTATTCACGAGCATTTTAAAGGAACGAAATCAAAACTGTCGTAGTTCAATAGTACACACAAGTTCCGTGTCCAATACGTCCTGTAAGAATGATGTGTGCGTGTGCTTCAACGTGTCACCTGGGGAGAGTTCGGCCAAAATCCACCGCTTTGCGACTGTAGAGGAAATTCCCTGGAAAGCAAAACTTGGTGCCCAGTGACCCAGTTGAAAGCATCCCCTTGGTGTTCAAACTTCCACGTTCGGTTTCAACCCCGTAGATCAGCCGCGGGGAAGGAAGCACTACAGGCTTTGACTCCTACCTGTGTGTTTCTCTCCCTTAAGACTTTTAATAAAGCTAGTTCGTTTAAGCCCACGTTGCAAGCACAGTTTGTTCTTGTTGGTGTGCTCCGAGGCTCCAGCAGGCTGGCTGAGCTGCAGGGCCCAAGTCCTCCTTCATGGGCCGTGTGTATTTGTACTGCAGTAGCGGCTAGCGCTCCGGGGCTTGTAGCGTAAGGTGTTGTACAGAGCGCTGCCCTCGCTGGGGAACTCACAGCGCCCACACGTTTTGAAGGTCACTTCATGCCGGTGAATAGTGCTGAGCTGGCAGCCAGTAGAGGATTTCTCTGCAGAACCGGGGCAGTGGCGCTGCGAGATTTCTCTGTGCATGGCCCCTCGTTCCCTACGCTGCAGGGGCCCCTGGGGTTCAGAGGCTGATGGACAGTGGTGATGGGCTCAGGGCAGCGCCCAAGCGTTTGCTGCTGCTCTCCCGCCAGGGGCCTTTCAGACTGGGGAAGGAGAATGGAGCCCTGGGAGTCACCCCTCATTTACCCGCCCCCTTTAGCTCCATTCACAAGGACTGGGCCCCACTTCGTGGAGCTGAATGTCCTGCTTCTCCGTGCGTGGGAGATTTGTCCAGTCATCACGGCGGATGCCGGCATGGGGAGTTGCCTCCTCCAGACCCTGGCTGCCCTGGCCTCACCTCACACAACCCTCCTGCAGGGGGGTGGGGCAGGATTTTTAGCCTTGGCCATTTGTAGAGGGTGGTGTGGGGGGGGGGGCTTGTTTGGCTGAGCTCGGGGGAATGGACAGGGCTTCCTGTGTGTCCCCAGGGTAGATGGCAGGGGTGTTTGGCTGAGTCAGGGCTCTCTGTGCCTGCCCTGCAAGTACATGTGGGGGCATGAGTCCAGCTGAGTCGGGGGGGGGCAGGACACCCCATGCCTGCCCCCCAAGGTAGGTGCAGGGGGGTGCACCCTGATTAGCCCCCCAATGTAGGTGGGGAGGAGGCCAGAGGGGGTGGCTAGGAGTGGGGAGGAGGCCAGAGGGGGTGGCTAAGCCAGAGTAGTGGGGTGCCCCGTGTCTGCCTCCGAGGATAGGTGGGGGGTGCCCTGGGCTGCTCCTTAGGGTTAGTGTGGGAGGCCCCCCGTCTTCCCCCCAAGGTAGATTGGCTCTGAGACCAACACACACCTGGCCTTCCTGTCTGCCCCACAGAGGCCTGGCGGCAGGGGCTAGAGCAGGGGTCTCAAACTCAAATGACAACGAGGGCCACATGAGGACTAGTACATTGGCCCGAGGGCCGCATTACTGACACCTCCCCCCCGCTGCCCTCGGCCCCGCCCCCACTCCACCCCTTCCATGAGGCCCTGCCCCCATTCCAACCCCTTCCCCGAAATCCCCACCCCAACTCTGCCCCCTTCCTGTTCCCAGGGGGTGCAGGAGGGG